CCACCTCCGACACTCGTCGTCTTTTATACATTTATAGAATACAATCTATCCTTCCATCCACAGACATAATGCACTCCGCTCCACTCTTTAAGCCATACTCTGATGCCCTGCAGTACTCTAGCCATTTGGGACGTCACCTCACAGGAACACAATGCAGAAAGACCAGATAGAGATCGAAAAAGAGAGGGAGAGAGTAGAGTGAGAGACTTGCTGCTGACCTACTGCTGACTCTGGCAGGGGACACACTCACATACAAAAAACACACGCACACTCACACTCATGCAGCAAAGTTGCAGTACTGTGATCAACCAGCTAACCTGACAGCCTGGTCCCCTCTGAATACGGGTGCTCTGAAATGTCCTGCAACTCTAAGCAACGGCAGTCACTGTTAACTTCAACGTCCTAATGTATTCATTTGTACTCAAGTTACACGTCAAATAAAACAGATTATATAACTAAAGAGATAAAATAACATCTACAGTTAAGCATTCTTTTTGGTGGGTAAATGCTATTCTTCACTGGATGCTGGCGAAAGGACAAATTCCTTTCTCCACAAGGTGGACGTAATCACTCACATGTTGCAAATGAGTTATAAACAGCACACAAATTACCTTGCAAATATCCTAGATTTACTCGATTCATGACATCGCTCGCAGTGAGATTAGAAACATCCTCTACAAGCCAAAAGGGGAAGGAAGACAGAAGAGGCAGAGAAAGGAGGTTAAAAAAAAAAACAAGAACAAGAAACAAAAAAACATATCAGGCGGGCAGCAAAAGCATCTGCGGATTCAAAAAAAAGAAAACAACAATCAAAAAAACTCTTAAAAGTGTGAGAGCAATGCAAAGAGGCCATGCATCAGTGTGTGCACAGAATCACTTCCAAATTATTAATCTGTCACATCCTGCTGCAGAAATCCTCACTGACATTCATGGTTCTTTAGAAGATCTTGAACTTCAGGAGTTCTTCCTGAAACGTATTTAATTGACACATTACAACACATCTGGAGCATGATTCTGCTTTTTTTTGTTTTGAGCCGTGAAGCTGGGAGGAGGCAAAAACGAAAGAAAAAGTGAACTGAAAAGAATGCAGGCAATTTCATTCTGTAATTGCAGTCTTGAATGCAACTGAGACGAGGTTCGTGCTCCTGCATCCTCATGCGTGATGTGTTCACATCCACATGATGGTATGATCATGACTGCGAAGTGGTGTGCGTCTGAGTTATGACACACGGAAGAGGAGTTTGATGGGTGTGAAAGTGACGTGAGAAAATGAGGTTTTCTGAAGGTCAGTGACGATGCGGTGCGATGTCGATGATCTGTACTAACAAGCCTCACATTACTATGTGTTCATGGGAAATGAGATGAGGTAAAAGAAAACAAAAATGACTGGGATACAGATCGGAGGGTTAAATAACTTTCTCAAACACAGCTGCTTGCACTGCAGAAATAATTTAACCAGCTGAGAGAAGCATCAATTAGTGAAGCAAAAGAATCTCCTGAACTTGATCCTGAAACCTGAACTGATCAGACTCTAGAGTGTCCTTGCTTCTAAAATTTAAGCTCATGAATATACTTCACCACCAGGCTCAGAAAGTACTTTTGCAGCTGATGCTACGCCCCATCGATTCAGTACGTGCAATCTTATTAAAGCTAACAGGGCCAGTTTATTATATCTCGATTTAAACTGATAACACAGTGACAATTTGTGGTGGTGCATAGATATGTGACTTTGAGACTTTGAGATAGCCAATATCATTATTATTACGCATCAGAGCAAAGCCCAGTAAAACCAACAGGTGGTAACAGAGTAGGCAACTGAGGAAAGGCAACAAGCGTTCTCAAAGAAATGCAAGAACTCATTCTGCAGCTGTATGTAGTAATGGTACCCATGTTTAATCACACAAGGCAGTGATAACAGAGGCACTGTATGTGTAACTGCCTGTGGCATGAAATCAGTCACGTGCTATTCTTGATCTGAGCAAATTACAGTGTTCAGGAACAATACAAAAATAAAATCTTTAGCCTGTCCCAGCTTCTAAAATTCTCTGTAGTATAATCTTTGGTTTTTGGATCATTAAAAAACAAGCAGCCTAAAGAGATCCATCTGGGATGACATTTTCACCATTTTCACTAGGGGTGGGAGAAAAAATCGATACTGTGTAGTATCGTGATATTTTGTTTGCTAATAATGTATCGATACAGGGACAGCAGAAATCAATATTTTGTTACAAAAAAGGTTTTTGTGCTCTGACTTTAGAGGATGTTGATCCTTTTTCTGAGCAAGAATCCTGACATTCCTTCACTGTCCAAATGTGTTTAACTTTTTTTTTGGCAGCAATAAACATGACAGTTTACTTATTTTAATTTAAGACATGTTTTATTTTAATTAAGTTTAAAACTTTTTTATTTAATGTAAAATTATATTTT